ATCCCTCCTGGCAAACTCCACGAAAAGTCGTTGCTGACTTTTGGGAGAGACATCTCCGGGGAATGTCTCTCCCAAAAGTCAGCAACGACTTTTATTTTTCTCGACAATTTCAGCCCTGGTACCCCTCAGGGATAGGTACGAGAATGAACCCATCGCCAAACCTTCTAAGTTTGCAAATTCAGCGGGTTTTCCGATTGTTTCCGTATTTTCGAGATTATTCAGCTATTCTGGATAGTACAAGAACGTGATCTGACCAAATTCATTTTTGAGTCTGTCCTTGACGGGTATAGCAGGGGTGAAGTTGTCCAGAAAAATGAAAGTCGTCACTGACTTTTAGGAGAGACAATTCCCGACGCAGTTTTTTATGCTGATTCCGAATCTGGGTCTCCTTTCTTCTGAAATATCATTCATCTACTGAGAATCGGTCCTGCATTGTAGTAAAAACGCAGCTTTATCAGTCCCGTCGACACTCCGGACCAAAGGAAAGTCTGTTCCCCACGAATATTCTTGGGTCTTGCAGTGTCACCGTGTAGAGCTTTCAAAGGGCTATCGAATGAGGTATAATCTGACCTTGTTCGACATGGTTTACAGAACGCAGCAGGTGGAGTTTGCCAGGAGGGATACAGCAAGAAACCTCAACGGTGAACATTGTTGCGCACAGAAAAAAATGAAAGAACAACAACCAACTACACTTGAATATATCATTCGATAGAGAAAAGAAAGGGCTTTCAGATGATGTATAGATTGACTGAGAAGATACTTGTGGTGAAAAAGAAACGAGCCAAATACTGAACACAGACACTGCTAATAAAAGTGACTTTTCAAGAATCGATCATGAGCATCCAAGATGAGCTGGAATGATCTGATTTTCTTAGAAATCAACTAATCGCATTCCAATTCACAGTTATGAACATCAAAAACCCATTTTTGAGAGGGAGCCGATTCGTGGTCTTAACGACCCCCCGCCTTTGGTATTGTTTTTACTGGAACGTTTTCTTTTCCTATTATTTCCACAAAACAGCATAGCAAAAGTGAGAACTCAGCTGACTTTGGTATTTTCAAATGTACTCTTTCTCGTGGTCTGTAAAAGAAATATTTTTAGAGAAGATGGTGTGCTCGAGATCCAAGTTTCAAAAATACTTCAAAAATCTACAACCTAGCTTCCAACAATGTACTCAGCATGAACCAGAAAGCGCGATCGAAGTTTCGATGTTGCAACTAGGTAGAGAAGGGCAATCATTTCTGATGAAAACAAAACAAACTTGATCGAAAAATCTTTTGTTTTGATGAAGTTATGGGACTTTTACTGAAAGCACCCCCATATAGATCTGGTCCACGGTTAATTTTTATTTTTCCCTTATGAGCGTGAGCGTGAGTTGTATACCCCTAGTTTTTGTTTTGTTTTTTGGTAGATGTCGAATCCAGCACAAAAAATCGTCCTTCTGATTGGTCCTCCAGGCAGTGGCAAAGGTACCTTGGGACACGCCGCTGCCGCCAAGTTGCCCAACGTCCTCCATATTTCATTGGGTGATTTCGTTCGTGATGAAATGCAAGACCCAAACAGTCGATTTGGCAAGAGTGTTTCCCTTTTCGTGCACAGAGGCGAGCTCATCCCGGGCAATATCATGCTCGACATCTTAAGCCGTCGTCTCCAGCAACCCGATGCTTTGGCTTCGTCTACCATTCTTCTTGATGGTTTTCCTCGCACTCTGCATCAAGCCAAGGCCTTGAACAAAATGCTCACAGTCGATCGTGTCGTTCTCCTGCAGGCGCAAGAAGAGCTGTGCGTTGATCGTATCAATCATCGTCGAATTGATCCAGTCAGTCATCTCAGTTATCACACGCTACTGATTCCTGCATCGACTGCCCAAGTAGCAGCACGTCTCGTTCGACGCGAAACTGATCTGGACGAAAACAAAATTCGTGGTCGTCTTCAATTTTTCCAGCAGAATTTGGCTTCGATTCTGGCCGTTTTCCCTGGCAAGCTCTTTGCTCTTAATTCGGCGGTCAGTATCCAGGAAGAGTTGTCCGCGTTGCAGCAAATCTTGTCTGAGCCCATCGTCGTTGAGGCTCGCAAAGATCCGGATCCTTCGTCAATGCCTGTCAATCCCAATTCGAACAACAAAGTTGCTAAATCATTGTGTGTTGTTTGCATGGACGAAGAAGCGGATGAAGTGGTCTTACCATGTGGTCATCTCTGCGGTTGTGAGCCCTGCTTGAAGATGTTGCTCAACAGTGGAGCCAAGTGTCCCATTTGTCGTGCACACATGAACTCGGTTGTCAAAGTATTCCAGAGTGGAGTTGTGGAAGAAGACATGCAAGTGGAGCAAAAACAACCTGAGGTTGTGCCTGCACAGGTTGGTTGTTTGCATTTTTTTTGTGGTTGGGTTTTGAATTGTTCACTGCGGCTCGATTGTTTACTTCAATTCATCTTTTTTGTTTTTCATATTCATTCAGGATGAGGATGATGGAAATTGGTCCTTGGTACAGCAATCCCTGTCTGTTGCATCTGAGGGTGCATCTTCGTCCTCCGCTCGCCCTGCTCTCTCCATGGCTCCAGCTGTCAAATGGGTCAATGATCAAGTCCCTCTCCCTATTGCCGTTTCCATTGCTATTCCGGACATGGCTCAGCGTTCACAAGTGGATATTTGTTGTGTCATTGATGTGAGTGGCTCTATGGGGGAAGATGCCAAATTCCAGGACCCGAACGATGCCTCCAAATTTGTCAGTGAAGGTATGAACCAACTGGACATTGTCAAGCATTCGGTCAAGACAGTCATTCACACATTGACTGATCAAGATCGTCTCAGTTTAGTGGCGTTTCATGATGAAGCGCGTTCGGTCTTTACGCTTTCTGAAATGAATGAGGGTGGAAAGAGGCAAGCCATTGATGCTCTGGAGACGTTGGAGCCACAAAACTCCACCAATATTTGGTATGATTCTTTTTTGTTTGTTTGTGTGAAATTGATATTCATGTCTTTGTTTTTTTGTTTTTGTTTGTTCCAGGGCGGGTCTGGAAGCTGGTCTTGAATCTCTTCGCACTGCTCGTGCTTCTCCACGACGTTGTTTCATTTTGATTCTCACGGATGGTCAACCCACGATCTCTCCTCCTGGTGGAGAGAATATGGCTTTGCGCTCTTATTTTGAAGCTCATGCTGGATTCACTTGCAGTGTCTCGACTTTCGGATTTGGATATGAACTCAAGAGCAAGATGCTATTGGATGTGGCCAGAGAAGGCAAAGGCACCTTTGCATTTATTCCTGATGCCAAAATTGTGGGTACTTGTTTCGTGAATTTTGTGGCCAATGCTTGTACCAACCTAGC